AAAAAAAAAATAATAATTGAGGGGAGGTGGGTTGCCCTGCAACTTTGCTTTTGTACTGGGCAGTAAAATTACATTTTATTTCACATTTTTAAGATCCAGGATGTAAACATAGATTGAAGGACTGGAGAGAGCATTTTTAAGGAGGAAATCTATTGTACAAAAGTAATCCATAAAAAACAAGATTGATGGCCACTGCCTTAGAACTGTACAGAGCATTTTAATTTTAAGCTTATATCCTCCTTCTTGAGAACCAAATATACAGTACCAATTAACTGTTATATAGAAACAGAAGGAGCCTATTTCCTTAAAATTAGTTCATTCTTACTGCTCAGGATAAAAGTAACTGTGCCAAGGAGTTTCCCAGCAACTTTCATTGGGACATGTCTTTTACATCACTGAGATGATAACCCCACGCTTTTTGTTACTTATAGTGAATGCGTTGCGTTTGTCCAAATTAAATTTAATTCCCTGTAAATGGAATATAAATTCGGGCAAGAAGTGAAAAAAATATGGTAACTGTAGAATGAGAGCACGGGTCACACGGGAGTCATTGTAAATAGTGAACTCCTTCAAATGATTTGAATGGCATAAGGCAATGAATTAGTTTTCATAAAAATTGAATAAATTTTGAAGTTTCTAAATTTAAAATGGGAAATGTGCAAATGACTAAAATAAATGGTGGCAGAAAGACTTTGTGGCTTGCTTCTGAATTTTAGTCCAGCTCTTGGTTTGTTTTCTGTAAAGGTCATATGTGACTTTTGATGCTGACCTCTGTAAAGGTATTTATGCTTGTCATTCTTTATGTTAACTCTCCAAATTTCCCAGTAGCTTAGTTATAGCCTTACAGCAAAAGCTAATGGAAGAGTGGGGAAGGAAGGGCAGGAAAAGTAGTGCTGAATAAAGGGGACATTAAAAAACTTTGAGTGGACAGTTGGGCTGTGGTTGTTGTCGCCATAGTAAAGCACACTGATGCATGTTATTGGTTGATGGAATGAGAGATGTGCTATTCTCGATACATCATTGCAAAATCAGGTGTGTACAGGGAGAAAACCACAGGATAAAAATCTGTTTTCTGTTTTGTTTAGGTCTTGTTGCAGTGGGAGAAAAGGCACAAAAGAGATCCGGACATTTCAGTGTGATGAAGGATCTTTCAGGTGAGACCTTTTTCACTCTTTTAAAATATGTTTAAGTTAATATATCTAGTTGTAGCAGTAGAATTGATTTAGAAAACAAATATGTTGCTGTCTTTAAGGTAAACATCCAGTTTCTGCACTGATGGAGATCTGTAATAAAAGAAGATGGTCACCACCTGAATTTGTATTGGTGGATGATAGTGGGCCTGATCATCGCAAACACTTTATCTTTAAGGTAAGCTTGAATTCTCTTTTCTCATGTATTACATATTGTGTTAAGATGAGGCTTTAAGCATTGCTATATTTGTGTTCTACTAGCATTCACAATGCATTAGGCACTGTCTAAACACATAGGAGTACACAATCCCTCTTACAAGGAACTATCAATCTAAACCCAGATCCTACAGGCACATTTCTGACTATTAAGAAAGAAGCTGAGATATTCTTCCCCAGTTTTTATTTAAACAGAAAAACCGATTTGGAGTTCAATCTTATCTCCTTATTCCCAGGAATAGCCTTAGGGGGTACTACTTTTGTGGAGAAAGTGACAGGATTTATCTTTTTATTTCCTATTTTAGCTTAGCATAACCTGCATTTACTTTCTCTTCCTGGGCTGGATCTTGCTTCTGTAAAGAGTTGACAGAGAATTGGGTAGTAACAAAGTGTAAGTGACTTTTGTGGGAACAAGAGCTGCAGGTTTACACACATTTCAAAGTTTGGCTTATGGAAGGAAGAAATTCAGACATACCTACTTTTTGCATTAACCATACAAGAAGTTTCTTAATGAAAAATTCTGGTAGTTCTTACCTCATCTTGTCAGTACCTGGCCACCTTTCATATTAGATTAGAAATACAGTTCTAAACAAACCCCTGCCTGTCTGGCCTCATGAGGTGGTCTTGGAATAACTTAGAAGTGACAAAACAAAGGTTATGATCCTTTCACTCACTGCATTAAGTATCCCATATTGTACAGTTCTGCTAGGTACACTGTACAAATGCAACAGGAAGCCCTCCTGAGTGGAGCTTAGGCAGTACAGCAGTGAACAGGAGGAATATTAGTAATAGATGTTATACTCCTCTGTGGGAATTTTCTGTATTGCATGATAAAGATTTTTAGTCCTTTTCACAGTTGATCGACAATAATTTGATGGGACAGTGGTAAAAACAACTGAGCTTTGTGTCTGCAGACAGCTTTCACTGGCAGATCTGTGCTAAGAGCAAATTACAACTGAGGCTTGCTGCATAGCCTGATTTGTTCTTGTTGTGCGAGTGGTGTTGCAGGCTGTCTGGGCTGCTGAACAATGAAGAGGATGCAGAATTAAGCATAGCACTTCCTGTTGGTTTTGTTTTTAAATTAAGAAGCTGGAACTTTTGATATCTTCCTGATTGTTTGTTTGGTGTAATTAAATTGCAAGCACTGTGAGGCAGGGATAGTCTTCCTCTTCGTGTTTGCACAATACCTACCAGAATGGCACTCAGCCTTGATGTATTAATTGAATAGAAATACTCTTGTTTACAGAATGCTTCTGAATTATGCTTCCCTCTGGATTTGAGAAGGGAAGCATAGGAATATCAGTAGTAGATGTTATATTAATCTGTGAGACTGCTTTCTGCATTGCGTGATAAGAGATCTTTAATTCTTTTCAAAGGTAATTCAGTTATATGAAGGGAATTGAAGGCACAGTCTCAAGGTGCCAAGTGCACTGATGTGAGGGAAATAGGTACATCGGAGGGAGTGGTAAAATATAATGACTGTATTGTTTATTTCTCTTGAACAGGTGATGGTCAACGGGAATGAATACAGGCCTACCTTTGCCAGCCTTAATAAGAAGCATGCTAAAGCCACAGCAGCAACTGCGGCCCTCCAAGCGATGGGACTTGTACCAAAGGAAAGCATGGCTAATACCACCATGTTCAGGAGTGCCTCACACCGCTAGATATTGTTTTTTATATTGACATTATTTCGGATAATTTTACTCTGCACAAAGAAGGTATTTGCCCGTCTCATTTTGTAAATACGTTGGCAATTCCCATGTTGTAAAAACTGTACAGACACCCGCAAGCTTTTCTTTTGTACCATCAAAAATGTATTTAAATCATACTTAGTTTTTGGTATGTTTATATTGTTTACATTAGTGATGTAATTATTTCTTAAATGACTAAAATCAGAAGACAGACTCTGGAGGCATCAATAATCTAAACCCTAGTTTTAAAACTCATGCAGTTTCTCTTCAATACGGAATGTTAACACTTTCATACTGTTTTATACTATGATGCAGTTGTCCCTGGTCTTGGTAAAGTTACTGTTGTACTTTTGCCTATAGCCAGTTAAAGGCTGCACAGCTTACCCTAGTCTAGAAAAGGCTGGCATGTACTGCTGGACAGATACTGGGCCAGTTACCCCTATGGGATAGTAGATAATGGTAGCACTGTTGTACAGAGCTACCATTACTTGCTTCTCCTTTTGAATTTTGTTTGGGGTTTCTCAGTGGTGTTCTGCAACTGGCCATATGGCCTACATTCTAGCACTAAAATGATTAGGCAAAAGACCTGCTTGAAGTGGGAGGGAAGAAAGTCTAGTGATGTAACTGATCAGAATCACAATGTGAAAGTCTCTCTCCCTGCATGTTCTGATAAGAAAATATGAAGTTGTCTATTCCAATCTCAAATTAACACACTGCCTGATGTTGATTGTATGAATGTGTGGTTAATGTGAATTTTAAACTATAACAAATCTTCAACTGGATGGGGGTAGAATGATGCTTAAATTGTTGTACCCAAGTCAGTCAATAAAGCAGCACAAGTTCATAATCTTAATCATCAGTCAAAAAACAATAAAATCTATGCTAGAGTGCTGATTTAGAAGTCAGCATACCATCACATGCTGTGGGGGGAACAGTAGTGACAGCTGGTAAGAAGGCAGAACATAACCATACTTCAGTTGCTTATAAAAATATCAGGATAACATTTTGAGTTCAGATTTTTTCATGCTTGCACCATGCCTTGGGATGAGATTTCTTTGAAAGTTTAATCCAATGTTTTGGCAGTTTTTGAAAATGAATGCAGGGGATCTTTTTTTTCCTCATGTGCTACTTGGTTTTAGAGTCTTAACAGCTGGTTGTAGTAATTTTAAACTTGGGGAAGAGGATGGTCTCAACAAATTTGGGTGACTTAAAAAACATGGCATTACAATGAAGCTCTTTATACTTAGTTATTTCTGAAAATGTTAGCATTTTGCATCTTATCATTACAAATACACAGAGCTTTTTATGGGATGGGGAAACTATATTTCCTGTGCATCAAACCGCTACAACCTATATCCCTCAAATTGCAACAGAAACCTAGAGATAACAACATTCCAATCCTGTTTCCTCCATGAACACACACTAATTCTGGATGCTTTCACTATCCTCATTACTAAACAAGGCTTTATTGTAATGCTGTAAGGGCCAAGTACCTGATCTGGGGACCAGATAAGTGAGGGTCAGTGGTATACCAGAAGGTCACTTATGGTAAACTGGAAGGTGAACCTACCTGTTTAATGTGATAGACAAGTTCCATCCATTTAGTTGCTCTTGGTAATGGCAAATCTGGGCTTGGTTAGATTGTCTAAATTCCTACACCCCGCTTTATTTATATAAGGCATTTTGACAGCTGAAGAAACACTTTCAAAGAATTAGTAAAAGTATGCAAAAGACACCTCATACCCAATACTTTTATTGTGGTCTAGGGGATAATAGCACATACTGATGGGAGGGGGGTTCCTGTTAGAAGAGAAATTCCAGAGTTCAAATCATATTAGGATTGCAAGTTGAGGCATTTAGAAGGTATTTGAATTAATAGTCTGTTCACTACTATCTTTTAATTACATAATTATACTCCGCTCAGCCTTATTTGTTAAATAAAGTCATTGGTTGCCTCCTGTTTTGCAGTAGCTGAAAAATCTTCAGGAAGAATAGGTAAGTATGGTATAATAGCAGAGAATGGCATAGAGAACTGGGTTTTGTACCCGGCACCATGTGTTTCTGCAGAACTTTAGCTGTCTTAAAGCTAGCATACTTTTAGAGAGGCTGTGAAAAGTAAGAAGGGTCCTGCAGCTTGCATGAATGTGGAATCCATACCTTGCTGCATAAACTATTTTTAGAATATCAGTGTTCATTAAAAAAGTTTTAATCTCTCCTTGTTGTGACAAAACCTTTGCTCAGCAGAAATCTTGGTCTTCCTGTGGCTGCAGACCTCCTGAACCATTCTATATAACTTTAGAAGACAATATAAATATCTTAACTAGTAGGAACATGCAGCTCTTGCTTAAATGCACTCCCAAATCACCTTTCCATGGGCCAGAAACTAACTAGCAAGTGTCTACCTAGCTGTCTACCCAAAAATTACATAGTAACAATATATCTGGACAGGTTAAAATAAGTATGACTTTAGTAGTGATTGTGTCACTGGTCATATTTGTTCATGGTGCAAGAGTTTACACTATACCTTTGGAAGTAGCGCAAGTTAAATTTAGTCTGCTGTGTCAGCATTTAAAATTCAAACAAAGCTTTAAGTGCAAATACTGTTCAAAGAAGGCAACAGCCTAACAGGGACTTGTAAGGAAGGGAATTGTCTGTTTGGAAAGGAAAGTTCAGGCTTAAGTCACAATTTCAGAATGATGTTGCACAAGTATCCACGGGAAATTAATTCAGTTATTTTTCACCTAATCAAGTGCATATGAAAGTGTAAATGGATAACTTATTATTAAAATCTTAAGTGTTAATGTTTTGAGATTACACACCTGTAAGCAATCATTGGCACTGGTTTCTTGTAATGAAGTTTGCATTTTTCACTCAGACTGGACCTGTCTTGCACTAATTATGGCTGTTTCCACCATGAGACCAGCTCTATCTGTACATGATTGGTAGATTCTGATAGTTTAAAATGCTGGTGCTTCAGACAAGTTATGCTAGAATGCTGCTGATATGCAAATGATGATTCTTTGGATCACTGGTATATAGTCCATCCAGCTTAAGTGGTTGTAGGCCCCTCAGACTTGATACAGATGAAATGCTTGGTATTGTTGAGGCATTTAAGAAACTGGCTTTAAGTTGTAATGACAGATCAGAACTACCTACTTCAGTGGTCATTGAACAGTATCCAGGTTCTAACACCGAACACGCAGTAAAACATTCTAGAGGGTTAGGTAGCCACATCAGTACCAGAGCCCCTTAACTAAGATGAGGGTATCCTGCAGACTGTACAATTAGTTTTAAAGCAGTTCTAGTAGGTGTAGAGTTCATTCAGAATGGAATAAGGTGATGAGGTACCTGTTAAGCAAATGAGTTAATCTGAATGCTGCTACCATTATCATGCCTGATTCAAAACCACATACCGATTTTAGCTGAATAGCATGTCAAAAAGCAAAAGCTGTTCATGTTTGTACTCTGAAGACAAATTATTCAGCTGATCTTATCAAAACTCATTCCTTCTAGTTGCCAGATCTGCTTCCTGTGAACTTTAGGTAAGTAAAAATAAAGTGAAAAGTTTGACCTCTAAAAACATTAGCACTTAAATGGGCACTACGTGAATAAATAAAGCAAGATTCACAAAAGCAGCAGTAGATGTCACCCCAAAAAGTTTTAGAAGTGATCCCGATACAGCTTAATTAAAACACAGACTCTACCTTAACTCCAAAGAGCAGAACATTCGAGATGGCTTAGTTTAAGATGTTTATTTTAAAAGCATAAAATGAAGATGTTTCAGAGCTGGAAAACAGCTAGTGATCTTGCTGGACAATTTAAAATATTCTTCTACCTGAGGTTGCCTTACCAGTGCTGTTATGTACTAGTTCTCATCTGTTACATCCAAGAGGTTTTGCAAGTAGGCTACACGTGCAGGAGACCACACTGGTTTGGGTTAGCTCAACAGCAACTGTAGAACACTGATGAAACAACAGCTAGTCCTGCTCCATCAGCTAAAATAATGCACTTAGGACTTCCAAGTATATGCATAGTCTTTCATTTCTAGGAATCTTATAGAAGACTTCCCCAATGCTGAAATCCCAGCCAGTTGATCCAAGGTTTTAGGATGTAGTCCACATCTAGTAAGGTCTGTGCATAACATTTCCTGTGAAAAATGATTCACAATAGGCATGCAACAGTGAATTGTGCTCAGTACTCATTTCTCTGCCTATGAACAAAAAATGTTGAATAGCTGTAACCGTCATAGGGACTCTAGTTTTAAAGCTATCAGTATAATAAAAGCCCTCTTCTGCTGTTGTGACTACCGCCACCCACAATGCCATTGACTAAACATGATGGTTACAAAATGGTAGATAACTAGGCATTCACTAACACATCAAGGGAAGAGCAGCTGTAATAACAAGTATTAATCCTAACTACTTGCCTTACGTAAGATCCTCTCCATGTCAAGCCTAGTGTTAAACACTGCTGTAGGCTCGTGGGCGTACAATACAGCAGAAAAGGCTCCCTTTTGGGCAGATGTGAGCAGCATTGTCAATGAGTGCAGGGAATGAGGCATGACAGGGCCCATGATCTCCAAGCTAAATATATCCTTATAACTTGAGTGAACCTGGGTTTTCACGTTTATACTTCGAGCCTAAATACAAGACAAGACAATTAGTATTTGATCCATCTCAACTGCCATCTGCCCTTACGTTTCAGTAATGGTTTGAATTCAAAGTGGTCAAAGCAAATTAGAGATATTACCCATTAATAATGCCTTAATAGGCATGGCTATTATTTGCTCTTTATAGGACAGTTCCACTCCCAGCTTATACCCACTATTAGTATGCAGGAATTCTACTGTCTGGTACTGCAACTGCACATTCAAAAAGGACAGATTTAGGCAGGCAGAACAAACAAGTAATGCAACATCCTGATTAGTAGCACAATTGCAAGATGGGGCAAGTTTTTCACATCCTACCTAAAATGAGGAATTCCCAGAGTCCTAGTGATCTGACTAGATCAGGGATGAGCCAGATCCAGAGGGTCTTTGTCAAGGGCTGTGGTGGGTCCTTCACTCCTGCCTGGCCCAGGTACCATCTGGCCTATGGCATATCTCACTGCCCCCTGGGCATGCAGCAGGGCTGGGGCAGCTTTACCTGGGCTGCCTACAAAGGCAGTCCAGCTGCAGTGCCAGCTCCCAGCCCCATGGTACTGGTGAGGACTCTCATGTGTCGGCCTGACCTGTCTGCCCTGCACCTGCCCCAGACTCACCCACCCATACTGAGCAGCAACAGTGGCCAGGCAGCAGCTGCTGCTCAACACATGGGGAAAAGCAGCTCCTCCCCTTCACTGCTGCTGGGCACTTCTTGTTGCAGCTGCCCAAAGCCTGTGCCCAGGCTGCCTGCCAGTCCTCTGCACTGCCATCACTATCCTGCTGGGCAGCCCAGTTAGTGGTGCTGGTGGCAGAGAAGCTTCAGGCTAGCCCAGGCACAGGCTCTAGGCAGCTGCAGCAAGAAGTGCCCAGCAGCAGTGAAGGAGAAGGGCTGCTTTTCCCCACACAAGGAACAGCAGCTTCTGCCTAACAGCTGCTCGGCATGGAGAGATGGGCCAGACCAGGCATAGAGCAGGCTTGAGTTTGGGGCTGTGGTTGCAGGTTCTGGCTGGTACACTCTGACCAGGGTGAGTTCAGAGTGGGCCAGGAGCTGTTCATGGTGAGGAGCTGTTGGGTGAGGGAGCTCCCCAGAAATGCCTGTGTGGCCCACAGACCCAAGTAACTGTCCGTCCCTAGACTAGATCTTCAGTTTTGTACAGTGGAAACGGTCAAGGTGAACACCTGAACAACTGTATTAGAAATAGGGAAGGCTACATGTTTAACCCCTCATCTCAAGGATAGACTATACAACCAAATCTTCATGCCCAAAACGGACTTTCCAGCAGAGGTGATTTGCAATTAATATGCTAAACCAGTCAAGCTTTAACAGCATAAGTGTTAACCCTAGCAAACACCTACAAAGGAATGAGGATAACCTTGCTTAGACTGTATGTATATTAGACATCAAGTAAAGAAACTTGTAACTTATTTTCTTCACTGAAAACTGACAGTTAAGTTGCACAGTGATTACTAAACCCACTCCTACGCTATTTACCTTAAGTGTTTGCATTGTTGCACCTCGAAAAGCAACTGGGGACAACAGCGTTGGTGGAAGCCCAGCTTGAGGACCTGCACTGGCCACTAAACTCTTGCAATTTATCAAGAAGTTTAGTAAAGTGAATGTGTTTATTCCTCGCACCAATGCCAAGGATTCGGGCTTATGATCCATTTGCACCTCATGTTTTTCTTTACAGCTATGTTGGTAAGTCAAAGAAATAAAATGCAGAAAGTTTATCAAGACACTAGATCAAGAATAAGAGCCACATAAGAATTCACTGAAAAAGTTGTTATGCTAATTTTAAGTTTTGAAGAGCAATGAACTAAAAAATAGCTTAAACTTAACCGTTGATTTCACTGAAGCCAGTCTGTTTTCCAGATTTTAATACCTGCAGTTATTGTCTTTGGCATCTCTAAGATGATCATACTGATCTGGTGTTGCTAACATGGATTTGAGTAAATACAGTAACTGCTACAGATCAAGACTAGGTTCTCCCCCAGATGAGGGAGTCTCATTCTGAATTCAAATGCCAAGGCTGGGGATGGGGCAGGAGAGCCTGTGCTGCCTGGCTGGGGCTCATGGGGCAGGGTAAGGAGAGCATGGGAGGAGACCTTGTGCAGGGGAGGGGAAGCACAGGGGAGATCATGTGTAGGGAGCGCAGTCCAGTGCATGGCCTGAGGGCATCACCGAGGTGTGTGTGTGTGTGTATGTATGTGTGTATAGGGGGTGGGGAGTACAGAACAGGGTTGAGGGTAGTGACAAGGAGACCACACAGAGGCAGGGGAGCTACTCCTGCTTCTTTGACTCTGACCTAGCCAGGGATGGTGCTGGAGTTGCTATTGCTACCTGGTTGGGGTCAAAGCCAAAGCTGCTGCAGGGTAATCAGTAGCAGGGTGGGGAGGCAAGTGGCCAGGAAGTCAGGGAACAGAAGTGGCAAGTGCTAGGCAAAATCTTCCATGTATAGAATCTAATTACTGGGGGTGGGGGGGGGGGGGTCCTTTTTAAACTCAAAGTCAT